CCGGCCCTGAGACCAACATTGGGTCAATCGAACCCCACGATATCTTTTTCCCGCTTTTTGAACCACAACAACCACTCAGGCATTGTCGTATGAGTGCAATGGCCGATTTGGTGGATTTACCGCTACCTCATCCACACCGCCCTCCCACCGCAGAAGAGGTGCGATTCAGTAAGGCCAGGATTGAATCTCTTGGTCAAGAAATTGACGACCTCGAGCTGAAGATCACCAAGTTCCGGGACCGTGGTTGGATTCAAGACCTTCAGCAACAACTAGATCAGGGTGCGGCCGCTGGAACCCTCGATAGTAAGATAGAGAAAATTCAAGCGGAAGTCCACGAACTTGAACGGAAACGAGCTAACTATATCTCCTATGTCTCTCCAATACGACGACTTCCGACCGAAATACTAAGCCAGATCATAGACCTCTGCCTAAAGGACCGTGAAGATATCACGAAACTGGCTGCAATCTGTGGTCGTTTCCGGGACGTCACCCTTGGGATGACAAGAATTTGGAGCAACATCTCGCTCCAATCAAATTATCATGTAGAGGAGTACATGCGAGTGATAAAGCTGCCCGTAGGAAACTACGGCTATTCGATGTTTGTAAGATACCGCTTTGAGTGTGTATCATCTTTTTGACCATTTCTTTGGTAGGGTGGTTTTCGGTGCAAGACGGTGGAACAGCTCGAACTGGTTTTAGAACGAGCCGGCTCAGCTCAACTCAAGATACATATTGAATGGCCGGTGGAGTCGGGTGCACTCAAGCTGATATCAATGCGTAATCACCCCATTTGGTCACTAAAGGTCCGCGCCAGTCCTACGAGAAAGGCTCCTTTCGTCACCGAACAATTTATGAAGCTCAATGTTCAACCACTAACAAACCTGGTGATATCAAACATTGATTGGAAAGATGCCAAAGGACTGATGGATCTGGCGTTACAGTCGAGTAGCAAGAAATTCACCCTTTCCCTGCACAACGTTGTCCCTACCTTTGACCTCTTCAGGCACAGGTTTATGGACCATGTTGAGATGCTCAAATTTTCAGGGGG